CATCAATTTATGTACAGTCTTTGTATTTACACAAGGGGTCAAAGGTCACTGAACCTGAAGCACTTGAAACTAGGTTAAGAGAGAGAATCATATGAACCTAAAGGCAGTGTAGTCCATCCACCCATAACCATCAAACTGATACAGCACGTGATTGATCTAAAGTAGCATCTCCAAGGACGACAACAGCAAAAACATTCACGCAAAATAAAAACACTGCCGTTCCGAGGCTCTGCATACTGAAGCAGTTCTATCGTATCGGCTTTTCATGCAAACATATCGGTGCTTTTTTTTTCTTAACTGAATAAAAGATGAAACTTGAATTTACAATCACATTCTTCTCATACTGTGCTGGTTTAAAGTGAATGAAAGTGATAGAGGAGGGGGGGGGGGAATCAAAACCTGGTGCGACAATAAGAATCAAATGTTTCATCTTTCATGCGAAACCTGCCGGGCTCAGCATGTTCCTAAAATGTGCACAAAGCTTGAATACCCTGTCAGCAATAAAAGCAGATTACTCTCTCGCTCCGTCTCTCTGTTTCACCCTGAGGATGGGCAATGCTCCTAACCACGTCAGGCTCTGAGTTTCCCTAACCGAAAAGTTGCACAACTTGTGAATATCATATTGCAATTTGATTGCATGTTCTAAGGCAAAAAAGAAAGAAATTGAACAAATGCACAGAAAATGCAGACCACTGCATCAAACAACAAAGACAAACAAAGCAAGGCAAAACAAAAAAGAAACTGAAAAAAACTTTCAGTGTAATACTCATTTATATTCCAGTCTTTCCTCCTAAAGGCAACTGTTCCTCCACTATGGCATTTTGGTGTTTTTTTTGTTGTCACATTTATGTTCTAGCGAGCAGTTGTGAAAGATGTGTTTCTTTGCAGCCTGTAGCAGATGTGAGGGAGGGTCTGAGTTCTGGTTTCAGGTGGGCATTGGTGAGGCCAATTGGTGTTTCCATCAGGCCTTGGCGGCGGCAGCTAAGAGAATGTACAGCCACAGGGGTGCTGGTAAGCTGTGATGCCTTGGGGTCATAGGTCATAGAGTGGTGCTCTGGGGCTCCTCCTCAGGCACAGCATCTCCCTCTGGAGAGTCTGTCACTGCCAGGGACCTCCTGCAGGGGGCACCGCTGAACTCATCGATGAGGCTGTCCAGATTGACATTGATGGAGGGGATTTCATAACTGAAGATATCTAATGGTGAGCATGGTGGGAGAGGTGAGTATGATGAGCAGAGTGGTGGGATGGTGATGATGAGCAAGGAGGAGGAGAAGAGGGCGTATGATGATGATAATGAGGTGTCAAAAACGGAAGAGAGCAGAAATAATATTAATCGTTTGGATTCAGGACTCATGGTTAAGTGCCAATATGAGGTCTGCCCTGATTGAAAAGAAAGAGTCAGTAGATTACATGTGCTTCACATTCTACACAGGGATGAAGTCAGTGTCTTACTACTAGTCACGCCCGAACCAACTTGGTGGCGACTAGTGTGGTATGTCACAGCTTTTTGTGTCTTTTGAGACAACAACAGATACTTTGTCAGATAAAATACAGGAACAGGTCAAAATGACTGCACAATGACACACTACTGTACACGTTTACAACAACGGCCAGATAAACCAACACAGAGGCAACAAGATGTGTGTGGAACTCCGTGGAAAAAATGGCACCAAGACACCATAACGATGGGAATCTCATGAGGACTTGATATTTGCTCTAAATATAGATCTTTATAAAGCGCTGCTGCGTTTACTGGGAGCAGCAGGTCCAAGCAGAGGCTGAAGACTACTCCTGTGTAGGAATGAGATGGAGCGTGGCAGTGTAGTAAGGAGGAGCAGAGGTTATAAAAAGCAATGAACCTGCCAGAGGAGGATTGGGGGTTACCTGTGGCCCCACGTACCGGTGGCAGGGGCGTTAGAGGGGGGATGTCTGCTGGCGTAAGGCTGGGAATGCGGAACAAAAGGAAGGAGGGGGGGGGGGCTTTCAGATGGACCTCTATAAGCGACGGCGTCTGCAATGTGAACGCAGTGTGGTGCACTCTGGGAAGTCCTTAGGCCATGCATTATTGGTTGTACCACAATACCATGCAAAGAGTCAATAATGTTGACGTTCTGACTGTGAGCTACTGGTACTTGAGCATGTTTGAGGCAGGCTGCAGGAGACCCCAGAGGCAGCCACAGCACGAGGCCAGGCAGTGAGATGGATTGCATGGGGCGGGGGGGCGGTCTGGCTTACCCTAAAAGTCCCCCTCACACTTAGCCCACACTGAATCCCTGGCCTCACACAGCTGCAAGGTACACAATAGTAGCAGGGGGAACAAGAGAATGATAAATATAACAAAGTGACAGAACGATTGGTATATATTGACAGAACACCTCATCATCAGAACATCATACTGTAGATATAATGTGGGGTTCGTCTGGCTAGGTTTCCACGCCTGCTACGCAGTCGCTAAGAGAGACTAGACTAGTGTGAACTGTGTAAGCCTCTGACCTACCTCTGCCGAGTGAGGGTCTGGGTAACACAGATAAACAGAGAGCACATGATGAATCTAATGGCAACTTCCAAACAAGCAGGACGAGCTATGCTTCTCTGATGTTTCCACACATTACCCAGAAACATCATCACATAACACAAGCAATGAATACGTAGGTCAGGAGCTCTGCTCAAAAATTGCTATTGACATTGCATCATTGTCAGGCATCTGTGTCTAAAAGGCAACTTTTTTTCATTCAGACATTCGTGTTGGGACAGTCAATAAAAGGGGATGGCCAGTGTTTTATATCTACTGGGACGAGTCCTACAGAGTCCTACACTCGTCCAGCGTCTCCGTTGGACAGAGCCACAGCGAGTCTGAGAGAGGGCCGCTGCAGCCCCACCTGTGGGGGTGGCGGGGGTGTTGTTACCAAGGGCTGATGTTTACCTGTAGACATGCTCTCCCCAGGAGACAGTCCATCCAGGAGGCCCTGCTCCAGGGGCTGGGGAACTGGGGCCATGGCCAGGCCAGTGAGCCCAGGAGGGACTGTGGGCGGCTGAGGAGGGGGCAGGCTAGGTCTCTGCCTGGGCTTAGGGGTGGGCCGAGACTTGGTGAGCGTTCCAGTCAGGGAGGGAGGGGAGGAGAGGGAGTGGGGCGCCCCCAATGGGGTCTGCCCAGGTGAGGATGGGGGCACTAGCCCTGCAGGGCAGGCCAGTCCATAAGGGGAAGGGGTGCTAGGTGGTGTGGGAGACAGGCTGACCGGTGACGGCTGACCTGTGGACTGGTCGGACATCCCGCCAGACTGGCCATAAGGGACCTTGGGAGGGACAGGGGCCAACTTCTTGGAACCTGGAGACACACAACACAGTCATGTTACACAACACATTTCCTGTTCAAAATGTAAATACTTCATAGTAAAATCAAGATGTGTGAGGTCCGAGAGGTGCTGACCTTTGTGCAGGGTGTGGGGACTGTGCTCCGTGGAGTGGGGGGACTGGCTGCTGCTCTGCGGGCTGCTGCTGGGAGGGACTGTTGGACCTGCCACCTGGATGGCTTTGTGTCCAATTACAGGGGAGAGCTCTTTACTCTTCAATGAACTGAAAAAGACAGGCAGACATCAGTGTGCCGATAATATCCGAGACTGGTCATTTAAAAGCACATTTACATTCTGAACTGTCCTCATGCACATTGCCTCAGTGCTGCCACCACCACCACCACCACCACCACCACCACCATCAGTATCATCATTAATGATTGTGTCACAATTTTTAAGAACCCGTCAACACAACGTCATGGGAAGCAAATCAACGTTTACAGACCAAACCGCAGCACATCTTTTTTAAACACATTTATTTAACCGTTGGTGCAGATGAATCCCTGAAGTTGCAAATCTCTCGGCTTGTTCAAACCACAGTAAGTCAAATATTACTGAGCAAATATTACTGAGTCAATATATCAACTTTTTTCTTGGAATAATGAGACTGCCCTACAGTAAACATTTCACAACCATAGTTATTGCTTTAAAAAAACATTAAAACAAATTCAGCCTTTTCCTCTCAGCAGACACAGAAGCTTAGTGATGTGAACCAAAGCAATTTTATTTTGAATGACTGAACCAGAGCTCAGCTGGGATCTGAACTGAACTTACAAGATCTCAATCTGTGCAAAAAAATCCCCCGAGCTTGAGGAATTCCTTCCAGCCTTAGGGAATAGATGATGTACATTTTTGTAGCAGATGTAGCATTAATTCATGCTTTTTGGACAGAATCTCATGAATTAACTTTTGCATCAGGTTTAGAGATGTGAAGTTGTACAGAAAATAGAGCAGAGATATAGCATATGACAAGAAAAAGAAAACATCTTCACTCTAACTCTCACAATGCTTTTTGATCACTCAGTTTACATTGGTAAATAAACTGTATGGACCATAATTAAACATTACAATTAAGATTAATAATATGATTATTTGTTGTGACGTCAAAATCCATTTATATTTACCAAGCTTGGCATTTACTTTCTTTGTGTGTAAGAAACCTTCAGTGATGTTAAATTTTTGTTTTAAGACAGTAATGGTAATAACATTTGATATATTGCAGTTTTTTTCCTCTGCTCTTTATTTTAATTACTGTGTTCTTTTCTCACTAATATAATCATATCTGTAATTAATGTCTGCAGCAAGGATATGCTTTCAGTAATAAGATCTGCTGTAGTACTGTTACAAATGCAAAACTAAGCCCATGAAGTCTCACGCAGCCTCCATACTGCAGTGTAGTCGTCACATTTAGGATTATGTTATGTCTAATTAACTGCGATCTCCCGCAGCCCCTTTGAGCTGTGTGCCTCCAACAAATAATCATCTGAATGGGAAATCATGGCCTTAGCTAATCACAAGAAGGAGCGATATCAGGCAAGCTTAGTCTTACTGCTGACAAAGATTTGCAGTAATGATTCACAGTCTTGTGTGGTTGTAACACTGATGACTTATGACTAAGGGAACTGTCTCAATCACTCAATACAAACTCAGCTCCTTGGGTTTAGCTATGCAATGCTGATTTTGTATGAAGATATTCTTCTATAACGGAATGGACACTACATTACTAACCTTGGAAATCTGTGTTTCCTTAAAAAGCTGTTTCTTCTGTTGGTTAGTAAAACAAATGATGCAAACTGTAGAATAAATACATTCATATGCTATTTGATAGCCATATGCAGCGTTGAACATGTATTTATCATCTACTCCATACCAGCATCATATCCAGCGCTATATAAGCCAGTAACATCCTTAGTTGCTAGGCAACCCCATGGGAGGCAACCCCCGACAACCTGAATGTTACAGAATCTGAGATATGTAATTTGAAGGGGGAGGAAAAAAAAAAGCAAAAAGAAAACATGAGCCAGCGAGCTGGAGGAGAGGAGAGATACAGCTGCCACTCTGTGTTGCATCCATAGTGGCCATGGGTGTGTTGTATTTACCTAGTCAGCCTGGGGGGTCCTCTCTCTCGGGCACATGGACAGGCAGCCCACGGCGGGGGTGGGGGTGCGGACGAAGGGAGGCTAGGGGGATTGCCAAAGGACTGGTCGTGGCGGGTTAGTACCAAGGGGGTTTTGATGTAGAGTGGTGAGGCATTAGCATCTGGCGGGGGTGCATGCGACATGTCGCCAGGCGGACTGTGCTTGGGGAAGTGCAGGCAGCTTGGTTTGGGGTTCGAATTGATGTCAAGTGACGAGGAGGAGGAGGAAGAGGAGGAGGAGGGGGGCGGGGCGGGGGGAGTGAAGCCAGACCAGCGCATCGGGGGCGGGGGTGAGGCCGGGGGCTGGGACTCTGGACCCGGTGCCACGGGGCGAGCGCAGGGTGGGGGTTTGGGATAGAAGTGGTGGGGGAGAGAGTGGCACGAGGAGGTCGGGTAAGGGGGGGGCGGCCGGTCCTCCCCTGGGGGTGGATGGGCATGAGAGGTGTCCGGCCGATTGGGCGACACGTTGTCTGAGCTGTAGATATTAAGAGAATAGACAGCACAAAAAACAGCTCTAGTGATTGAACAGGGAGACGCATTGGAGTGATATAGGATAAGCTGTTTTGATGATTAGGGTGTTAGGTGTTAGTTGGTCCGTAGCCAAAAAACAGAAGAGAAAAAAAAAGTTGCATTTAGGGTGGGTGGTGGGCACTGAGCTTAGCACACAGTCAGCTTAGTGCAAATACAAAGACAAGCACAAAGAAAGAGCAAAAGAAAAATATATATTGCCAAAGGAAAAGAATACAGTGTGTACACCTCCCTCTGTGATCACCTTGTGTCTGCACACTGCATGGAGCTCTGAGGATCTGTCTCTGAAGCCAAAGTGCTTGTCTGCAGCCTCCAATGTTATATAAAGCTGCCCCGATGACTGAATGTCCTCTCAACTGCTGCATGTGGAAACCCTGTCGGCCTTAATCCTATACGACTTGTTTGCATTGCAGCGTCTGCAGTCGGCCCAGGGCAGTGTGGAACAGACACAAAACCCTTTCACTGGCTGAAAGAGCCACAGGAGAGGAGGGGATAGACAGCCAAACTAGAAGCTATATTATCTCTTGTCTGCCACACAGGCAGAGCCTGCGACCATGAGGTGATTATTCATGTGTTCAACTATGATAATCATGACAAATAAAAAAGAGGAAATCAGTCTGAGTGTCAACAGAAAAGGAAAAACTTCACGTCCAAAGCTGAAAAAGCAAAGCCACGACAATGGGATATTGGGAACTGCATGCTCACAAGGACTTGCAGATTAAAGCTTAGTGCCAAGTACGGAAACTTCTACACAATGTTTCGACTCAAAGCCTTCAGAGTTAGAGTCAGAAAATATCATTATCTTATTGAAAATGTAACCCACAGTGAAATCTCCCCAACGAACAGGAGAAACTGAGGAAATGCAGAGTGAGAAATCATAAGAATAACAACAGAACTCGACGTGAAGGTGTTGATGACAGAAATGCCATAAAAAGTGAATGTTTGATTAGCACAGCCAAGGATCTCGATGACACAAAGCGGAGAAGCTTATGATGGTGATGGTGATGAAACATCAAAAGGAGTCAATGTGTGAGGAAGAGAGGGGTACAGCGTCTCCACGGGGACTTACCAGAACCTTTCTGCAGGTGGCGGTGTCGCAGACGGCGAGGTGGTGAGCTCGCCGGGCTGCTCGGGGATGAGTGTGTCCGCGGGGGAGCCGGGCCCTTGCATGCCTGGAGGCGTGGAGGAGGTCTTGCGGGTCAGTGTGGATGAACCCTTACGCGACACCCAGGAGGTATCCATGACCCGGACACCCATACTGGAGACACACACATACAAAGGGTGATTCATGTGTATGGTGATTGAGAGCAGCACTACAAGGTGAGTGGAGGAAAGTAAGGGAAGAAGTGGTGAAACGGCATGATACGATACCTTTGTATCTTCCTAATGCTGCATTAGTAGAGGAGGAGAGAGGCAAAAAGGATATGAGGTCAGAGGTAATGCAGAGATGGTTCACAACATCACATTTAAGCCGCTTGCCAGTGAAAAGCTTCTTTTTCCTAATCAAACCTATTTGTTCAGAGTAGACGCTCCTAAGCTGCTCAATACTCGAAACAGATAAAATCTTTATATCACTTTATATCAACTGCTACTAACTGCTGGGCTGCAGATTTAGATTGGTGCCTGTGGTATAATACTTCAGCCTTTTTGCTAGTTTGATGGGGATATTTTGAAGGTATTGGTCCTAATTCTGCTGGTGATTTTCCACCAGCTGGATGAATGACTCAGGCCAGGTGACGTGCTAGCCAGACTGCGAAGGAGGAGCTGGGTGTAGGAGGATGGGAAGATAACACTGGAGAAATATTACCCGAGAAAAAAAAATTATAGGTAACCAGCAGCTCTTCCTCCCGTTGCCATGGAAACAACGCCACTCAAGGCAATTCACCCCCGTGTATTCTAGTAGCTTTCATCCTGATGAAACAGGGAATGTAGTTGTATCTGCTGGAATTATTGACATCCCCAGCTCTCTGTGGCCTCCAGAGGCTTCTGAGTCACTGGAGCGAAAACTTTAGAATACAGGATGTGTAAATACTTCGCCAAGACACTTAATGTGCAGGCATTGCTCTCTTCAAATGTAAGAATTCAGTATCAGATGCGTGAGAGGAGGCGTGGGCGGCGAGAGAGGGAGAGAGTGAGAGGTGGGCAGCAGGAGGATGCGCTCGGCATCATACCCATCCTTCTTGTAAAATTCCAGCATCATGTTGTCGGTGGCAACGCTCAGTGGGCGTCGGCTCTGGTCGTGCTGCTGCTTGCGCTCAGACTGGTCCATGTCCGGTGAGGGCATGGAGCTGTAGTTGGAGTTGTGGTTGGTGTGGATCGGGCTGCCATAGCAGCCGGTCAGGTTGAATTCAATCTCTGAGGAGGAAGCGGACGAAGATGTAGCTTCAGCAGTGTTTATGAGTGTGTGTGTGTTGTAAATGCAACTCTGGAATAATTGAATTTACCAAATTTGAGAATATTGTTTCCTAAAATAGATAACATTTTGAATTCAAAAATAACATACGTAACAAACTATAATTTGTATGCAGTATGAGTATTAAGGCCAATTCTTGAGAAATTTCTTGTAGACTAATGTTACTAAAAACAAAGTCATATATTCAATGATAACAAAATCATAAAATTACAATAATAAAAAAGAAACTCTGTCTGGATCCAAAATGTAATTACCTGCCAATCAAAACTTTCTGGAGAAACTATGTCAGTCTCAAAGTCCACTACCAACAGCCACTGGATCAGTCTTCAGAATAGACACAGTTTCTAATACAATCAATGTGGTGTTGAGGTGCCAAAAGTTAGAATTTAGTCATTTGTGAAACCTGCATTCGAGTACAATTTAACAAGATTGTAATTAATTACTGTTTACTGTTTCATCATGTATGTTTTTGTTATTGTGCGTTTTATAGGTCATCATGTAGAGACCACAATCAAGACATTAATCTAAATATTTAAAATGATTTTCAGTGGGCATTCTCTCGTCAATAAATATTGTGAAAGAAGTCTAAATTGTTTGATGATTTAATGTTAGATTAATTTATGCTAGTTTAAATAAAATAGTAATAGTTAATTCTTAAATTCAATTTAGTCCATTTCTGTGACGGCAGATAAGTAATGATAATCTATATGTTGCCCAGCCTGGCTACACTATTACATACATATTATGTAATCCCCACCTCCAGGGAAGAACCAGTCAGCATGCTGGATAATGGGCTCAATGATGCCAACAATCTGCAGGGACACGGTGGTCATCATCTCCGTAATGTTTCTGGTAAAGAAGAGAAGGGACTCAGCTACAGTACGAACAACATCCAGCAAGTTCAGGTAATCATATTAAGAATACATACGGTTCAGTGTGTGTCCACAGCAAGTTAGGACCGAGGACGATCGCCATGTTACCGGGAGTCATCTTGTTCGCATCTTGATACTCACTCAGCTTGGCTAAGAATTTGACTAGATATCTGTAGGATTCAAATGAATGGTTGCATCTTAGAATCCTGCTAACTTGTTTTCCTCTGGCACCTGCAGAGCTGATATGTGCTGTGACATATCTCTTTTTTTTAAATTAACTGTTTAATCAGATCATCATTGTGGGACACCTCTCAACCTGAGCCACCGACTGTGTGGGACAGTAAAGCGCAGCAATGGTTTAAACCTGCAGGTAAGTCAATGTCAGAATTAAAACTTGCAGACACTAAACACCTTTGCTAATAATTTACAGGCATTGATATTGCAAGAAACCAATTCTACTGCCTTCTGCTGGTGACAGGCGAATATCTGTCTAACCTGCTGCTGCTGTTACTTTTCTCACCTGCAGGTGGTACAGTTTTTGACCGAAACTACATTGTTTTTCTGTCTTTCTATTATTGCAGTGAGATCATTTACAAATACAGGAAATAAAGGAAAGCATCTGACCTGAAATTGTTTAAGTTGTCTGTGGGGAGTTTCTCGCACGCTGCCATTAAAGCTTGGAGCCTCTTGTCCATATCTTGAATGCTGGAGATGTAAAAAAAGAAAATCATTATATTTTCTACAGTTGCTCCACTTCCTAATAAATGTCCCCATTTTTCATTTTGGCAGCTGAGACCCTCTGAGTAAAGAATATTTTCTGTTTTTCATTGTGGCCAGTGGTATAATTCAAGAAAAAAAACTTTTAATAAAGAACACGAACTGCAACTCACTTGGACGCCTGAATCCATTCATCATAAAGTTCAGTGGTCATCAGCGGCTCGGGGAGCTCACGGAGGTATGATTTCAGAGCCCCTGTGGGTGAAGATAACAGGGTGAGCGTAAAAAAAACAACAACTGGTCAGCTCTGTGAGAAAAGAGAGAGGAGAAATGTTTTCCATCGTCAGAGCGCGGGTGAGGCCAGGCTGAAATTGCCACTCCCCTGGCAGCGCAACACAGATTTCATGTTAATGTGTGAAATGGACAGCAACAGGAAAATAACACTGAGGGCAGAGCTGGCTAAGACTGGTTGTGTTTTCACCCCTGTCCATTTGCTTATTGGTTTGTTTGGAGGATACGTTACATAAAAAGGAGTTGGACGGATTACAACAAAACTTGGTGGAAAGATGTGCTATGAGTCAGGGAAGAAGCCATTGAATTTTCATCCAGAGCAGAAGAAGGGGAGTAGCTGGATCAGTGAGCAGATCCAGGAATGATTGGACTTTTTCCCGTTATCTTAACAATTCATGGATCTTGACGAAAAAAACAAAAAAAACAGGCCCATTTAGGGACTTACAGTATATCTATGAATGCGGGGAATTTTGAATTTATGTTTTCGTATATAATAAACTTTCTGCATCATTGCTGATGATGTTTGGTTAAACACACTGCCTTTCACAGATAATGTTATAGCTTTTTCCTTACAAAATTGTTGTTGTTATGGAGATGGGATTTGTACAAAGCATCTGTGTGGGTGTAGTTCACCTGCGATGGCGTGTGGGTCAGAGGAGTACTCCTGCACATCCAGAACTCCACAGTCCAGCGAGGCTTTCAGCTTCTTCAGCTTGGAGGCTGATGGAGCCACTCTGAAGAGGCCCTGCCGCCCACACAGAGGAAATACATCATCATGTGTAATTATCACATCTGACGTGACCTGCGCTTAAATGATGTACTAAAGTAACAGCCTCTATCGCTGTGCACTTGACAGATGATGAATAACACAGGGTGGTGCTGGCGAAACATGAAGCCTATACTTACACTTTATCACTGTCATCCATTATTCAAAGCCTATCAGAGGATTTTAATTCGTCTAATTACCACAAACAAATAGGACCCTTGTCAAGGTGATAAATAACCCACATTTTCACAGCTGTTGTACTGGTCATGCTCAAATATCTGAGAGTGAGTGTGTGTGTGCATTGCCCTCTACCTCCTCTTGCATGCCACACTCCAGCAACATGGTGACACAGGCTTCGATGGGGAAGGCAATCTCTCTACCACTAATGTTCAGGTGTTCCTCCAGAGACTTGCCGAAAGACGGCTTCTCTACCCACGCCTCTGCAACACAAAACACACACACACACACACA